GTCTGTGCTGTAAAATATGTAAAGCAACGTCAACATGCTTTCAATTTGTTTTAATATCTGAGTCTTTTTATAGGGTTGCCAGACACAGTAATATTAATGAACCTTCTTTTCTGTTAATGTATTCACCAGTCTTGAACCCCACGGGAGATACATAGTTATTAGGAATTCGTGAATGCGTCGATCCGTTTGTCTATCTGTTAGACCTATGTCCGAGCTTCGTTCCGTAGCGCTTTAGACAACTTCTAGTAAGATGACTTTACATTTATTTTAAATGTCATATAATGCATGTATGTGATATGTGTTTTCAAGCACACATATCCTTAGAAACAAAATCTAGGAACATAACGTAAATTTAAGAATCAGCATTGTGATGTTAATAAGGTATGTTAAACAGTCCCAGTTTCAGTAAAACGTAACAGGTTATATAATAGGTGTAATAACAAATAACTCCATAGTGCACTACATATTTTATTATAATTTTTGAATCTGAAAATTGTTTAACGAGCTATATTTTAACTTTTTGTACTGGTTGTTTGTTTTTCGAATTTAAAATATATGGAAGTAAATGAACTCATCATAGTAACCATGATTGATTTTTTTTTATTTGCGCCAGACGCGCGTTTCGTCTATAAAGACTCATCAGTGTCGCTCGAATCACAAAGTTAAAAAGATCGAATAAAGTACGAAGTTGAAGAGCATTGAAGACCAAAAATTTCTAAAAGTTTTGCCAAAATCAATCTTGGTCAACGAATGTTTAAATGTACATAAACGTTCCTCTGATATTCAAACATGAACTTATATTTAAATTAATAAACTCGTATTTTGTTTTTAAAACATTTGCTTAAGTTCTTACACTAGGATAAACTGACAACATATTCCATTCATAAGCAAAATAATTAACATGGGTTTTATGTACCTCTATCTGTGTCCTGTGTGTGTGTTTTTAAGGAAAGTTAAACTAGGTAATTTAGAAAATTGTGGCAATTTGTATGGTTACAAAATAAAGTACCAAATTCCTGATTTTATATTGAAGTCATGAGGAAGTATTAACGTTTGCATGTGTAATTCAATACTATTTTGATCATTGTTATTTATAATAAGGCATTCACCAAACTGAAAACACTTGTTAATTATATAGCAATGCGGTACGCATGTATGTCATTCTGGCTTTGTTGTGAACGAATCTTCCATTAATGGGGTTTTTTATGCGATGTTTTCCTTGTATCGTGATTTTAGGGAAGCCATTTAGGCATAAACATTTAGAGTTTGTAACTATTAATTGTTATATAATTGCTTTTAATTTGATGAATACTTTATTTTATGGTTTTGATATAAGGAAGTATTTCTTCTTAGAATAAAAATCAGAAATAAATCCCTGAAAACAACAAATTTTACAAAATACATCAAGCGTCTACAGGAAGATGGAGTAATGTTAACATGTTGGTCTGTCCTAAAAGAGAGATCATGTTAAAATTAGAGTAATATCAAAGGTAAAACTTTTTTATAACTTATCATTAAACAATGATTTTAAATACATTATAAATTGTCCATTTAATTCAATTCTGTGTATCTTAGAACTGGCGATTAATATAGTTCTAATACAATTAAACCAGTTAATACAGTATCTTTACAGATCTTAATATAGGATTTTCACTTCCGTTTTTGTTTTCAAAAAGGTGTGTATTACGTGATATATAATACATCAACCAGTTTGATGGTAAAATTGTTTTTATCATGCTGTAATATATTTTTTTTTTCAAATATACAATAATGATATAAGATAAGACTACTAATAGCACACGATTTTTTTTTTTTTTTTTTTATGGCAAAGCGGTAAAATAAGTTATTTATTGTACATCCTTGTGTCATTAAGCCAATGATGAAGGGTATTTCAAAAGTAACTGATTACTTAAATTGATGTTTTTTTTGTTTGGTAATGTCAAAGATGTGAAATGTAAAAACAATTGATGGCCAAACATGCCTAAGCAATAAAATATAAAGTTACGTATTAGTTACACTAGATATATTTTCGCAAAATCAAAGTTAAACAAATCATTTATACGGCCTCTTTCACGGGTTACAACTGCTTCATATTAGTTCCGGATTCCTTACTCCCCACCCCACCCAACCCAACTCAACCCAACACCAACCATACCCTCTTCTCCCTCTTACTCTTTTCCCAATCACCAAAAAGCCTTTCATGAAATCGTATATTAAGAATTAGTATATGATCATGTAATGCAGTATGCTAGAAATAGCATTAAGTACAACAATTGTCTTGCATGGTTTATTAACTATTGTTGAAAATATAATCTGATTTTCAACTGTAAACATGTTTTGATACAAGAAAAAAGGTATGACATCCCCTTTAATGAAGTAAATTTAATGAATAACTTCCAAAGTTAAATGACTTGTAGTTTTCATACACCGTCATATTGTTTCTTGCATTACACAGTTACAGTAACATGTTTTTGAAATTGAACAATGATTTCTAACGTTTATCTGTAAAAAAAGGACGAAAGATACCAGGGGGACAGTCAAACTCATAGATCGAAAACAAACTGACAACGCCGTGGCCAAAAAAAAAAGACAAACAGACACATAATAGTACGGATGACACAACATAGACTAAAGACTAAGCAACACGAACCCCACCAAAAACTAGGGGTGATCTCAGGTGCTCCGTAAATTAATTAGTGAGTTATACTTTACTATACACTATACATTATACTTGACCTGTACGGAGGGCAAGGCTATACCTAATCACACAAGAAAAGATTGTTCCACTTTCTATGTGATTGACAGAAAAGGGTACAAATCCTGATAATATTTACAGAAACAAATAGTTTTTGATTGTACATGGATATACGCCAGGTTATGTATGTTTTACGGTTTTTCTTTGTGTATAACACACCTAAAGTTATAAGGGTTTCTTTATGGTCAGTCTTTCATTTAATCAATCTAGAGAACCCTCAATGTATTATTCGACAAGAACAGCCTACGAATATGCATTATATATATATATATCATTATTCTAATGATGATTTACCTAAGCGAAAGAAGAAGTTATAGCACGAACAGAATACTATCGGTTTGAAAGGCCAATTGTACACATTACATGTATAAGTTTAAGTTCACACAACGAGTATTTATGAAAAACAATTAATTAGGAATGCTTGAAAAACTTGGCTAACAAAAGCTGTCAAACAATGTACAAATATAAGCAGTGATCAGCCTAGCACGATGTTAACATCTCGTTAATTGATGAAAGTGGTAACGCTTTAATACTACAGGAATGGCAAGAACTCCAAAATGGAGCAAAACTGGGTGGATCAAAAGACTAAGCGTAAATTGATATGTATACTTCCCCGAATTTACTGTATGCTAAAATGTTACAGTCGGACAAATTGAGAGGCAAGCAATAGATTGTTGTAACATTCAGAGAAATATTTTTCATATAACACCACTGAAATTAATGGTTATATAATGCAGGATTTTTTCTCCGATCCTTTTATTGCATCAGTTCATATAGATAAAACAACTCATCGATTATCTGGTGGAAGATAGTCTGCATTTTTTGCTTGGAAAGTGGGGATCTTGGGATTAAATCTGTGGTCGGGTCATATCACTTCCTAACAATTTGATAGAGGTGCTTCTTGATAAGGCACGCAGCATTAAAAAGAGCAAAGATTGGTTGGCTCGTAAAAATTTGCCTGGTAGGTTACCATATCTCTTGACTTTACATTCTGGTAAGACTTCGCATGTCAGTCTAGAAGGGCATATTTAAATTTGTTCGTCCTAAATATGCAACTAATTTTCTGTTCTACATTACAGCAAACCATGATCAGCATAAACACATGGTTAAAACCTAATTTCGAGTTTAGAGGCATATCATTTGCACATTTTTGTTTTCCGTCTGATATTTTGTTGTAACACCACTGTCCCAGGTTGGAGGAAAGGTACAGCGCTGACAAATATGTTTTATCCAGCCTCATAATATATGTGGCTGTCCCAAGTCAGCTCTTAATGTAACGATTGTCTTCTGTTCCTGTCTCTCATATTTGTTTTTCGTTGGTTGAATTTTATAAATTTTGCCGTTAATTTTCTCGTTTGGATTGTTTATGTCGAGGCCTATAAAAGTTGACCTTACGGTTTGGGTGTTTCTGATTGTTGAAGGCCGAAATTGGCATCTCATTGATTTTATCTTCGTTTTATATCTCTAGCGGATAGTTGTCGCATTGACAATCAATCATACCACATTTTAATTGTATGCATGTGGAATATTTAATAAATATACGTTATTTCATTTTCCTATTTCACATACAACTACATACCTTACGCTCTACATTTTTTGTTGTATCATGTTTTATAACTTTTTTGTATCATGTTTTTGAAGCGCATCGACCATGTCATAATATAGTAGTAATGCAGACATCATGAATATACTGGTTACAGGGAGATATCATTTTTATCGGCTGAGAGCATAATTTATTTAGTTTCTAGCTGATTTAATCGGTACGTATTTTAGACATTACTTTTTATACATTTTTTTTCTGAATGCAATTTTGTTATCAATATTGTTACAAAATCTACAAAATAAAGGTCTAAAACAGGTGTTACATTATTTGACTTCATCTGAAATACAATGATTGAAACAAAACAGTATAAATCACATGGTTTAAAAGCAATAATATAACACCATCTGTTTTAAAGGTACAAAGATAAGAATATTTCATTTTTTAACAACTCATTGTATCCATGTCCTTATCGTTAAACACTTATTTATTTATTCGTTCATTATGTTAATGTAAAATAAATACACTCGTAGCGAGATTTGTTTTGTTAGTAATTCGTTTTAAAACTTTAAATATTACAAAGGATGCGGAACATCGAACCTAGTTTTAACACAAAAGAACCATATGATTAACTGAAAGGTCATTCTTTCATCAAATAAGGAACTTGATACGCAAGAATTTAGTTAAAACAATTTATATTTGCGTTTCATTATTTACCTTGCTTGTCAATGGGATTTAAGATTGGACCTATAATGTTTTTGCATTTTATTTTATAGTCAATCTAAGGGTAAGTAATAATAATCACATCACATTTTTTATAAATTAAATGATCTACCGACACACCATATTTTCCTAAAATGTACTGTACCAAATAATGGCAACAGTAGTATACCGCTGTTTAAAAGTCATAAAAATTCAAGTCAGGAATATGACAATTGCTATAAGCTAATCCGTGTCTAGGTATGTTGGAATTTCTTTTTGTTGCAGTAGAGTGTTTCTTTTGTTTCGTTGTTTTCCTCTTATAATTGATGTTTTCCTCCTCAGTTTTAGTTTGTAACCCGGGTTTGTTTTCGCTTAATCGATTGATTGAACAGCAATTTACTACTCTTGCCTTTATAAATTTGAAACAAATGCAAAAAATAAAACGATATTTAGCAAACAGAAAAGTAACCCAACACAGACTAGATAAAAAAAACCAACAACATAGATATAGAATGCCTGATGAACATGATAGATGTTTGCCTTTACCATTTAAACATGATTAATTGTTGAATATATTATCACATTTTTAATTACGGATTGTGTTTTTTTACTTCGACTCATAAATAATAAATCTTTTATATTTTAGAGGTAACATCGTGATGAAATACAGTGTTTGTGTTTTTATTGAATTGCTCATTTTCGTCTGCTTCTTCAGTAGAGGTAAGGCACATACTTGTTTTCAAATAGTATTTAAAGTATTCTAAAATGAAAGGAAACAAAAACGATCACGCAATGCTTGCATGTATTATGACAAATAATAGATACAAAAGGTAAACAGTTGAAATGGGATCATGTTTACCTTAAATACGTTTACTTTTCGTTTCAAAGGGATGAAAATTTGTTGAACACGAGGTTATATGGTAACATTCGTATCGTAACTTATAACGTGTCATTTAAGTGTTGTCAAACATGGTTGTCATTCAAAGATTTAACGAGACAACAAGTGTGGTATTTGATTTAAAAACAAAATAATTGATACAATCAGTAAACAACGCAACACTAGCTGTAGCTGATGCTTACCACAAAATCGTATTTGGACGCGAAATATTAGATTGATAGTTCGAATCAGTATTTAAAATAGCTGCTTTTCATAAATGTCTAAAAGTAGTTAGGATATGACATGACGCTGTGAATGGTTATACATATTGTTTTTTCAACCTTGTTTTAGGTTAAAAAAAACTTTTTGAAAAACAAATGATGAATGTTTACCAACTTCACTTATCAATACAATTGAGAATGGAAATGGGGAATGTGTCAAAGAGACAACAACCCGACCATGGAACAGACAACAGCAGAAGGTCACCAACAGGTCTTCAATGCAGCGAGAAATTCCCGCACCCGGAGGCGTCCTTCAGCTGGCCCCTAAACAAATATATATACTAGTTCAGTGATTATGAACGCCATACTAAACTCCAAATTGTACACAAGAAACTAAAATTAAAAATAATACAAGACTGACAAAGGCTAGAGGCTCCTGACTTGGGACAGGCGCAAAAATGCGTCGGGGTTAAACATGTTTATGAGATCTCAACCCTCCCCCTATACCTCTAGCCAATGTAGAAAAGTAAACGCACAACAATACGCTCATTAAAATTCAGTTCAAAAGAAGTCCGAGTCTGATGTCAGAAGATGTAACCAAAGAAAATAAACAAAATGACAATAATACACAAATAACAACAGACTACTAGCAGTTAACTGACATGCCAGCTCCAAACTTCAATTAAACTGATTGAAAGATCATGTCTTCTTCATATGAACATCAGGCACAATCCTTCCCGTTAGGGGTTTAGTGTCATACCATCATAACATATATGAGAAGAACATAACCCGTGTCATGCCAACAACTGGTTTTTTAATTAAATGTGTTTAGTGCCGATGCAAAGACCCTATAAGTGAATCAATATTAACGCCAAAATATGCAATCTTTAATGACCTGACAACAGTATCGTAACTATATCCCTTCTTAATAAGTCTATTTAAAGGTTTTGTTAGCTTCAGAGGTGAATACTGACATTTTTGTGCTTTATAAGAATATTTCCATAAAAAATTGGATGTAAAATACCTGAACGTATAAGAAGTCTGCATGTTGAGCTATATTTACGAATGATGTCGTTATAACGATGATAAAATTTAGTAAACGTTTTGACTAGTTTGTGATATCGAAAACCCTGGTGTAATAATTTTTCAGTAATACATAAATTTCTCTCGTTAAAATCTAAAACATTGTTACATACACGAGCGAATCGTACAAGTTGAGATATATAAACACCGTAAGATGGTGACAAGGGAACGTCACCATCTAAAAATGGATAATTAACGATAGGAAATGAAAAATCATCTCTTTTATCATATATTTTAGTATTAAGCTTTCCGTTAATGATATAGATATCAAGATCGAGAAAAGGGCAGTGATCATTGTTAGTATTAGCTTTATTTAAAGTAAGTTCAACAGGATAAATTTCTTTAGTATACATACTGAAGTCGTCATTATTGAGAGCCAAAATATCATCCAAATATCTAAAAGTATTATTAAATTTGTGTATCAGATGTTGTTTCGATGGGTCTTTGCTGATTTTTGTCATAAATTGTAACTCATAGCAATACAAAAAAAGGTCCTCAATAAGTGGTGCACAGTTAGTCCCCATTGGAATTCCGATAACCTGACGATATAAAGAATCTCCAAAGCGAACAAAAATGTTATCTAGTAAAAATTCAAGGGCATATATAGTATCAAAGCATGTCCAATTGACATAGTTTTTTTGTTTATTGCTACTAAAAAATGACCTAAAAGAGTTTGAACATATATATTCACATTTTGACTTTTTAAATGCCCATTTAATTAGGTGTGTGATTTTTTTCTTAATGAGAATGTGAGGCAATGTGGTATATAGGGTAGAAAAATCAAAACTTTGAACAGATTCAAAATCACCAATATATGCATGCAATTTATCAAGTACTTCCAACGAGTTCTTGACACTCCAAAAGTAATTAATTCCACTATTTTCGAATGCCTTATTTGAACAATTTATTATCAGGTTTTTGATTGTACCAAGTGTACTGGTAAGAAGAATAGACAATTTAGTAGTGGAACAATGGCTTGAAGACGAAATGAATCTATATTTGTAAGGTGTTTTGTGTAGCTTCGGAAGCCAATACATAGTTGGGACTTTCATTGTATTTGGTTCTGCTTGTAAAGCGGTAGCTAAAAGTTTATGTTTGTTACATATGTCGTTTTCTGAAAATGGAGTCAGTTGAAATGTTGGTGAATTGGTGATTTCTTTTTTCAGAACCTCAATGTAAAATTTACGTCAAACAATAATAATATTATTAGCAGCTTTATCGGCCGGGACAAAAACAAATTCCTTGGCTAGTTCTTTTAGTTTATGTTTGATACGAGAAATAGGTTTATTGTGGTTATTGTTAAGAGTAAAATGTTCTTTAAAATGTTGAATACGTATATCAACTATGTTCATTACTGATTTAAAAAAAGAGTCCAAAGATTTTTTGTCAGTTTTTTCCCGTTTTATCCATTTCAAACAGTAAGTATGGAGTGAGTCGTGGATGATATTACGACACTCATTCCAATTAATAATTGACGGGGGACGATATTTAGGTCCTTTACTGAGGAATGATTTTAACTCTCGGTCTTGAACGATGTTAAGATCTCCTGTTATAACATGGGAAATGGGTCCATAAATGTATTCGGAATTACTGCAATTACATGAAGTAGGTGTATTTTCACTGATATTAACATCTTTACACAATTGGCTATAATTAAACACAAATTTCCGGGTATATTTCTTGTAAATATAACAAATAAGAGGGAGCTCAGTATTATCAAAATATCCCGGAATTTGTTCTTTAACAGAATGGTCGTTAAAAATGCATTTTATTCGTTTATTTTATAAAGGAGTAGTATCATTAAATCAGCCATACATGTGAATTACGTAAACAAATGTTTTAAAGCCTTGATTAAGTTCCAACTATTAATCTGTAAATATGGCTTCATTGAAAATGCTGTTAAAGTAAACGTGTAATCTAGTTCGTGACGGTCAGCAGTTTTAATGTTACGTATATATAGTCGTATATGCTGTATAGTAAATACATGAGAATTGTATCCCTATGTGTTAGGATGCAATTTGTCATGTGATATAATTTGTTTCTTTCTGGCGAAACGTGTCGTGGTTAGTTTATGTGGTTTTTTGCTCTAATCAAATATAAATTCAGCGGCATTGGGAAATATTTGTTCCCGATGCACGTAATAATATAATAAGATGGAAAAAAGAAAATTAATAACCCTAAGAAAAGTGAGACAAAGTGTGATTTTCAGTAGTGTTTTACCATTTTAACTCAATAACCGTATGAGGTACGTAAAATCCAAAGACATTACCGAAAGGGATCAAAATTTGGATTTCGCGGGAAGTACGTCGACTGAGCATGCGCGAAAGCGTATAAGACAAGAATCAATAACGGTCATCGAGTTAGGATATTTTTTTCAAATATCGGCGTTTTCTGTAGAAACAGACAAATTTAGGAAGTACAAAACACCACATTTATACGTCTATCACAAATATTTCTGACTTTGTATGGTTTCAGAAGAGTTGCGGCTCAATGAAATCAGTTCCTTCCTTTAGTAGTATAGATAATAAGATATAAAGCCATAAAGATTGCAACAGGGAACATAATTTCCCGAAAAATAATTTATAGCTTTACACGAAGCATCTGGAACGATAATTTTTATTGATTTAATGTGTTGTCTAAAACTTAGGTAGACATAAAGCTATTTTTCGTAATTAAAACGAATAATATACAGCCACAACAGCCAAAACTTTCTGGTGCCGGGTTTAGGGTAAAAAAGATGTAAAAAAGAAAACGTAGAGTATAATTATAATGAAATGTTGTTTTTCATTTAATTTCAGGGCTTCAAAACAAGATAATCTTTTCAATTCATGGTTCAATTAAAGAAATAAACTTGCTTAATGGCGTAGTATCTAATTTATTATCCAATCTGCAAAGTAATATATACTCCTTAGACTATGATTATGAAACTGGATATGTGTTTTTCCCAAGGCATAATAAAGACGACATTTTGAGGTAATCAATAAAAGTATTTTCTTATAATCTTTAAATTGATATGTACATGTGTATGTTGTATTAGGCTAATTCTCCTATTGACATTCGAAAAAGTTGACGCGATTGTAGGTATGACATTAGGTTTTGTGATCTGCTCCGTTCTTATTAGTAAAATCCTTTTCAACTGATTTAAACATTGGTTCTTTACTTGTCCTGGCACAATATTGTTCCAGCTTAGAGAGACTGTTACACACAATCAATCTTGTGTAACCCATTTGCATTCATTGTGTATAGATATAAAAATATGTGGTATGAGTGCCAATGAGACAACTCTCCATCCAAGTTACAATTTGTAAAAGTAAACCCAAATTGTGTGCCTGTTTTAAGTCGGAATCTTTTAATGGAGTTCTGAGTTTTGTTTTCTAATTATTGTTTTCTTGTTTAGATTAATTTCGATTTCGCTATATTGATGCATTTACCTACTTAACGGTTATGATTGCCATTATTTTTGAAGTCCATACAAAGACCTAATAAACCTTTAGATACTCATACACATATCCACGTCATTCTGTCTTTGATTATTGGCTGTCTCATTGTCAATCGCTACAATATATCATATTACCCCAAATATATTTATTTTCTATAACGATGTTATATACAATATAATATCTTGTAGTGATTGTCAATGAATAAAATCAATGGTCTTATATTAAAAAAAGAATGTAACGGTCAAATCATAAAATATATTGGAGGAATCATACTGATAGGATGAACGCCAACAACTTTCAAATATAAGTACATACGGTGTTATATGGGAATTTCAAATATGAAATATTTGTTTTGAGAGAGAAAAAAAAAAAACAACAATCAAAAAGAGAAGTTAAAATATTAGTGAAAGATTGTTTTGTAGGTCGAAGCCTCAAAATACAGAGAGTGTAGACAAAACAATTGTCACATTCATATTGTTTTATTTAGTTTATAATTAGTTCTGTTATTTGCATTATCCATGTTATCTATTCTCATATTTATTGTTTACATGGGAGCAACATATCTTGGTTTCATTTTTCATGCTAACCACAATGTCTTGGTCAATTGATTATGGTTTTGTTCAATATTCTCACCTCCGACAAATATTTTGTATGTATGTATTTTTTTTTTTGCAATAACTTGCGGAATTTCAAGAAGGAAAATCCTGAAAATCGGTTCAAACGCACAGAATGAATTTACTTCATTTTCGAAAGTGTGAAATTTATACAAAAGTATTATTTACATTTCACAGATTTCGTTATCCATCAGATACAGCTTATAGCACAGAGTTGGTAACAAGTGCAAGGGAACCAATAGCTCTGGTTATCGACCCGTTATTGAATCATGTGTATTAGACAGAAATATACCAACAAAGCATATATAGATGTAATTTTGATGGGACAAATAAGACATTTATTCTGAGAGATGATCAACTATATGCTATTACATTAGATTATGTAAACAGGTTTGTATTGAATGAATATATAGTTGAGGAATCTGGTTATACATACAAGTTATAGCAAAAGTACAAACCGGCTTCTTTCAAACTTAGTTTTACTGTGCGTATTGCTGTCTGTTTGTTTATTCTACATTATCAAGAGGTATAGGGGAGGGTTTAGATCTCACAAAACATGTTTAATCCCGCCGAATGTTTTAGCTTGTCCCAAGTCAGGAGCCTCTATCTTTTGTTAGTCTTGTATGTTTTTTTTTTTATTTTAGAGCATTTATATAGTATATGTTTCGGGATTCAGTGTGACGTTAATTTTCTCTGAACTTGTACACAATTTTGTTTGTGGCCAGCTGAAGCCCGCTTCCATGTGCGGAATTATCTCGCTGTGTTGAAGACCCATTGGGTGCCTTGGGTTATTTTCTATTCTTTGGTCAGAATGTTTCTTTTTAACACAATCCCAATTTCCATGCTCAATGTTATTATCCATCTTAGTTCGATTTGTTACATTCAACAACGCTTTCAGTTTCACACGAAAAACTCTACACAACAATTTACGACAAAAAAGACGATTTTTCATTACGTATTGTTTATTTATGTTATGTTCCTTTGGTACCGTCTAACGGCCTTTATGTATCACAACTTGTTCGTTATGCTCGTGTCTGTAGTGACGCTTTGAATTTCAATGAGCTTACACTATGTATTACTGGCAATGTTTTAAGTGACAGATTCGATACCACAAATGTTTTTAAATAGATATAAGAAGATGTGGTGTGCGTGCCAATGAGACAACTCTCCTTCCAAGTCACATTTTTTAAAAGTAAACCATTATAGGTCAAAGTACGGCCTTCAAGACCAGCCTTGGCTCACCCCGAACAGCAAGCTATAAAGGGCCCGAAAATGACTAGTGCAAAACCATTCAAACAGGAAACCAACGGTCTAATCTATATAAAAAAAACGAGAAACGAGAGAAACTTATGAACCGAAACAACAAACGACTACCACTGATTATCAGGCTCTTGACTTAGGATAGGTGCAAACAAATGCAGCATGTTTAAACGTTTGAATAAGCACTTCCATTCACCCTAACCTGAAACAACAATGTACAAGTTACATCACAACATAGAAAGACACACTATAAAATATCAACTGAAATGGCTTAACTCAAGACATATACACAAAAACAAGTGAATATACACTGAACGAATAAATTTGATATATGACACAATGTAAATACAAAATTAATAAAACAAGGGAGTTAGATGTAAAACAATATCAGAAAGACAACCATAAACTTAGACAAAATGCCGCCAAATAAAATAACGTACACAGGTAAATACAAATTATTTTGTTGTAAGGTATACATGGTGTACGGACATATTTTTTATAAGATAGATAATTTTGTTGTTCTTAGTACGAGAACAGATTGAAGTGAAAATTTATCGTCATACCAAACACTTATCAAAGGTGGTATATATATCCAAAACAGTTAGACGACATATAACACTATTAAGTAAACATCAAATTGAAAAAAATGCATTCCAAATGGTATCAAAAGGTCAAATTAACACGAAAGTACTATTTGAGAGTACTCGCAGTTACTGAAAGCTAGTTAAAAGCCAAAAACAATTAATAATAAAAAATCATGCATCAGAGACTAAAATCAACTAAAACAGGGATTTATTGTTTTCATGGACAGTCAAAGAAGACATGATTTGTGCAATGCCAAAATAAAAGTATCGCCAAGCAGTAGGATAGTTAGGAGTTAACCTTTTGATAAATATGTATAATGTTATATATAGATAGAGTTATCTCTATATAGAAAATGAACGTGGATGTGTATTTATACATATAAAAAAAACGTTTGAAAAGAATACAAATTTAGTTATGTCTTCATTTGCTGTTGACAAAATCGATATTTGTGACACTGTTCACTATATTCAAAGATCTAATTATAACATTGGTAAGATAACCTTTAATTATAAGTTTGTTTAAAGGTTCGATAATTTAACAAGGATCACAAAGTGATTTTCGCGCTTTTAGTACAATAATACCGTAAAATTCAAAAAAATGTGAAATACCGTTTTTTTAAAAGTTATCTACAGGTACAGCTAAATTTAATAATCAAATCTATGTATCTATGACAGGGGTTAGTAAAAGTTTTAAATTTGTAATTTATGGTAACGAAATCCCTGACTTAATAAGTAAACAGTGATGCATTGATTACGTTCGTTAAAATCTATCACTACAGACACGGGCATAACGCACGAATTGGGATATATAAACACCGTATGATGGAGCCAAAGGAACATCGATGTTTTAAAAAAGGTAAATTGACAATAGGGAATGACAAATCGTCTCTTTTGTCGTATACCTTTTTTATATTCTTCCATAGGTAGAAGGTTTCGGTTTGCAAGTTTAATTGATTTTGTTATCAGTGAATTATAACAATCTAAATATTATTGTTATACATATTTGCATATTCACGGTACTACAATCTATCGATACTTATGTTTTGGCATTGCACGAGGTCATGTTTTTCTCTAACTATCAACGACGTTTTTAAGATTAATCCATGAAGTGTTGGATGTGTTTTGATTGATATTTAATTTTATTAACATGATTTATTATTAGTTGTTATTGCTTTAAACTAGCTGTAAGTAAATGCGAGTACCCTCAGGTCTTTACTTATTATGGATGTATAAATACGCTGCAATGTCCGGTCTGTGTTTTCGTGTTTTGCATTGTATCTGATCTGATGAGTTCAGCCCTTTTCAACTGATTTTTTATAGTTTGTTCTTATGTTGCACTGTTTGTCCAAGATTAAGGGGAGGGTTTTGTGCCAGTAAACTATTTCAAACCTGCAACATTCTTAATGTGCCCGTCCGAAGTCAGAAGCTTGTCTTTTAGTCGTTGTATTTGGTTCATGTCTGTCATAATTGATTTTTGGAAATTGTTGTGTTATACATTAGGCCGTTATATTTCTCAATTTGATTGTGTCATATAGTTTTCATGTCAGGGCATTTTACACAGTAAGAGGTATGTTTTCATTATTGAAGGCCGTACGGTTGCCTACAATTGCTAACATCCACTTCATTTGAACTTTGGTGGATATTTGTCTCATTGGCAATCATACATCATTTTCTAATCTTTATTTTCTAGGTTTTTGATGCCAGTTTGATGTACGTGCGAAATTTCGGACGGGTTTACGTGGGTTCCCTTTTTATTTTATTTCATCTCATTACAGTGTTCAAACAAGATCCCTGAAACTTCATCAAAAATGTGTAATATGTCGAAGAAGTCCATATGTTGCAACTTACAAGTTTGCGAATTTTGCAAAGACTGATTACTATAGTGAACCTATCATAGAAATTATTGTCAGTGTGTTTAGCTCTCGTCTCTCTATTTTGGCAATTTCTTGGGAACAATATTCAAAAGATAAGTAATATTATATACCTATATGGAAATATTGTCTTACAGAACGTCAGGTCTCTCTTTTGAAGAACAACCCGGACGATACCATCTACTTATCTACTTTCTCATTTTACTTTATCAAATGGTCAAATGACCAAATATACTTATTTAAACAGAATAACAGCCATGAACTTTGTGGAAAGGGGGGGGGTGTATAATATTAAATCCAGATTCTCAGTTTAAAAAGTATTGCTAGGCAACAGAGTGGTTAAATGTGTTCTGAATAGTTTATTAAATGTTGTTTAAAGAATTTTCTGCTTTTCCTCCATAAAATTCAACTGACAAAGTGACTTGTATTTTTCATACACCGTAACAATTTAATCGTGTCTTGCTTCATGCGGTAACAGTTATATTTTCATTGTAACTGGATAATGATTTCTAAAGTTTATATCTAAATCAATTGATGAGTTTTATTTCACATTGTAAATGAGCCGTAGGGCGTATATAAACCTGAACGTATCAGAAAAGAAAATACCACTTTAGTTTTGTCGGTAAAATAGGATTCAAATCCAGCAAATCATTGCAGAAAATAATATTTCTTGACGATATATAAGTCATATAATGCAGATTTTAAGTTTTTTGTCGTATAACACACCTCTGGTTGTCAGGATTGCCCTATCATTTGACCAATCCTGACACCCCTCAGTGTGCTATACGACAAGAAAAACCGTAAAATATGCATTATATATAACATATCTAACCAAATCTTTGGGACTTCACAGGAAATAGTCAACAATATTGAAGTTGTCATCCTTGCATTCTGAGAATGCTAAAACAACATTTTTCATTTTCCTATTTTATTTTTAAAATGTTTGTGAAAAATATTATTTATTTATCATAAAAAATCATTTTACCTAACTGTCGTCAATTTGTGTTTGTATTTTTTTTTTTTTTTGCATATCATAGTATGATAAGTCGTTTGGTGTTGTTTCTTCTGTGAATATTATATTCTGAAATTTGAGGTAGGGCCGATGATAAATCTGGTAATGTCTGACGATACAGCAACAGTAACAACCATTATTAGCATTTACTTAATTTTTATATTGTTTGTTTTTACCACCATTTTTACCCAAGGTCATAAACATTGAAATGAAACATTTGATAACGTATAAGAAGACATCGTTTGGAAGCAGATTGCTGAAATCAACTGATAGTAAAGGGGTTTTAAATTGGTTATTATTGTTTGAAAAGTAATAATGTCATGAAAATGTGATCAATTAGGTTCAGATATTGTATTCGTTTTAACGCCTCGGTGGTCTCGTAGTAGCGTGTTCGCCTCGAGTGCGGGAGGTCGTGGGTTCGAACCCTGGCCGGGTCACACCAAAGACTTTAACACTGCTGCTTCTCCGCTAAGCACGCGACATTAAGGAGTAAGAGCAAAGACTGGTCGGCTCGGGGTCAGAATAATGTGTCCGGGTAAGGTAACTTATCTTTCTGCGGACTGTTACCTTGTGAACTAGCACGTTAAAATCCGGCTCAGCGTGTCGGTCTAGTACAAAGCAGGGCTAATATTCTTATTACACTAACATGTTCTCGTTCTGAATATGCATATTAATTTGCCGCTGGACGTTAAGGTTGCAACTCCGTAAATATAGACAATGCAATTTCCCTTTGGAACTCCCTTTATGGCTAAAACTGCGCCACTTTTACTATGAAGTTTCGTGAGAAATTATATCCTAGAATGGAAAGTTGATATGCATTACTATTTTATTCAAAGGTCAAAACATAGGGCTGTGCGGCATGTTTTCAACATTTATATGCCCCGAACTTCTAAGAGTTTAAACTTCTACTAAAATTCTGTACCACCCGTACCTTCACTCTCGGTATTCCTCAGAATTCAATTTCGCCGCCATCCATGTGTTTTTATACTGGTAACATTCCCAAATTATGTCTCTATGAGATGAAACATAGAGATCATATCTGGGAACCAGTACGTAAACAAAACAAAATATCTATGAATATAATATATCTCCCCAAAAGAGGCGTGGTTTGTAAAACAGCTGTATTTACAAAGTGCAACCTATACTAACATTTATTCAAATAGAAAAATCTTGAAAAAAACTTTTTCTCGCAACAATGCTTATTTATCAAAATCATAGCCTTAAAAAAATCACTGCATATACTTTTCTTTTACAGTACATTGTATACCCCCACCCCTGTTTCAATGTTTAAAGAATTTGAAAACAAGACTTTAATTATTGTCAGCTTACCCTATGTGCATGTTTTCTGACATGAAATGTCTAGACCCTGTTTGAAGCTATTCTGATAACAAATTGAAAGCACTTTAGAATACTTTAAATGTAAAGTTTTGTAGTTAATCATTCTAACATTCAAGATTATATACAGTATCCCATTCTCCCTAAGTCTCCAGTCCACATCTTACTGTATGCCTATTTGTCAATAAAAGTTCACAATTTCTGCCTCAAATGGTCAGTTTAGAAATATTGTCACAAGAATATCACCTCTAACCATATATCTAACATGATTTAGCTAATATATGAAATAGAACTGTTTAAACAAAGCCATATTTGCAAAAGTTGTATGTATGAAGTTACCAGTCTGATGTATGAATTCACTAAACGTTTTATAGAACTGACTAATAACATCTGTTTGTGCATAACCTCCAAGCACAGTTATTGTTTTCTATACAAAAGACCTTTATAATAATAAAATCATAGCATTTACAAGTTAATTTATCTGTTTTACGACCCAGAGGATAGGCATTTGTCTCTGTTATTTGCCAATGGGGTTTCAAATTTGCTAAATGATTATGCTGATTATGTGAATATGGAATATATAGTACATATTTAGGATAGAACACACTATTGTCAGTTTTATTTTTATAGGTATTTTTGTATCTGTAGCTTGCATTTTCTATTCCGCGGTCACAAAAAAGCACATTCAGGTGTAATGGCTTACTTTTGGGTTATCGACAGGACAAAATCACTCCAACTGCAAAGAGTAAATATAACCACTTTTAAACAATTTAAGTTACAAATATGCATATATTTGTAACTTAAATTGTTTAAGTTACAAATATGCATATATTATGAAATTACTTAGCATACAGGGCATTAACTAAACTCTGCATATTATTAACTTTGAATTTATGCTGAGTCATCATAGTAAAGGCCCAGGATTTTCTCAATCTTTCTGAAATATTTATAAAACTTTATAATTGATCATCATCATCATCATCATCATCATCATCATCATCATCATCATCATCATCATCATCATCATCATCATCATCGTCGTCGTCGTCGTCGTCGTCGTCGTCGTCGTCGTCGTCGTCGTCGTCGTCATCATCATCATCTTCATCATCATCATAGAGATTCCGTATATCGTCAAGTTATCGGAATTCCAAGGGGGACTTACTGTGAACTACTTATTGTGGACCTGTTTCTGTATTGTTATGAGTTACAATTTATGACTAAAATCAGCAAACACCCATCGAAGCAACATCTGATACAAAAATTTAATAACACTTTTAGATATTTGGATGATATAATGGCTCTTGATAATGACGACTTCAGTATGTACACTAAAGAAATTTATCCCGCTGAACTGACTTTAAATAAAGCTAATACTAAAACAATGAACACTGCCCTTTCCTGGATTTTGATATCTATATCTTTAACTGGAAGCTTAATACCACAATTTATGATAAAAGAGATGATTTTTCATTTCCTATTGTTAATTACCCATTTTTAGATGGCGACGTTCCCTTGTCACCATCTTATGGTGTTTATATATCTCATCTTGTTCGATTCGCTCGTGTATGTAACCACGCATTTATGTTTAACAAAAGAAATCTCTGTATTACTGAAAAATTATTACACCAGGGTTTTCGATATCACAAACTAGTCAAAACATTTACTAAATATTATCATCGGTACATATACAGGGACATCATTCCTGAAAATAAATCGATATGCAGACATCTTATACGTTCAGGTATTTCACATCCAATCTTTTTATGATAATATTCTTTACAAAGCACAAAAATGTCGGCATTCACCTCAAAAGCTAACCAAACCTTATTCAGAAGGGATATAGTTACGATACTGTTATCAGGCCATTGAAGATGGCATATTTTGGTATTAATATTGATTTACTCAAGGGTCTTTGCATCGGAAATAATCACATTTGTTCTAAAACCAGTTCCCATATATCTTATGATGGCATTATACTACATGTAAACCCCTTACTGGAGGGATTGTGCTTGATTTTCATATGATGAAGACACAATCTTTCAATTAATTTAATTGAAGTCTAAAGCTGGCAGTCAGTAACTGCTAGTAGTTCTTTGTTAATTTATGTATCATTGTCATTTTGCTTAGTTTCTTTTGTTACATATTCTGACATCGGACTCGGACTTCTTTTAAACTGAGCTTTACTGTGCGTATTGCTGTGTGCTTGTTTATTCCTCATTGGCTAGAGGTATAGGGGGAAGGTTGAGATCTCACAAAACATGTTTAAACCCGCCGCATTTTTGCGCCTGTCCCAAGTCAGGAGCCTCTGGCCTTTGTTAGTCTTGTATGTTTTTTTTTTTTTATTTTATGTCATTTATATGTTTTTGGAGTTTAGTTTGACGTCTATTTTCACTGAACTTCTACACATTTTTATTAAGGGACCAGCTGAGGCCCTTTCCGCGTGCGTGTGTTGAAGACCCATTGATGCCTTCGGCTGTTTTCTGCACTTTGGTCGGGTTGTTATCTCTTTGACATATTCCCCATTTCCATTCTCAATTTTATAATATCATCGTAGGGTATTTACGTGATATAAACTAAATAATAACGAATAAGAAAGAAAAAACATCGACGTAAAAAACATTCTTTGGAAAATATTAAATGGGTTCAGGTGATAGAGGCCAAACGACAACATTTTCCCTTTAAGGAACATGTTTAGACATAATCTGAAGTCGACTACCACCACTTATTCACAACTTTCTCACGTTTTTCAATTATTTTCTATTATGTGGTTACAGTTGGCTGTATTATAGTACAAAGACAAACAAAATAAGAAGATCAAGATTAAATGGTGCTAACAAACAGACCCTCAAAGAATTGGTAGATGTAACTGGTTTGGGTATAGGTGTGTACACTCAATAGTTTATGTTAAAAGAAAACCCCGACACTATGGATATACAGTATGTGGTACCGATGACCGATAGCCTCCATGCTGATAGAAGACTCTTGGAATTAGATTAAAGTGGTGACGATTGCATTTAATGTTTTCCTTGCATCCTTTTTAGAGGTTGCAGCCGGACTTTTTTCAATCTAATTGGCTAAAATGCAATGACAAAAATATGTTTTATCCATAAATCTGAAGCCTTCAAAAAGTAGATAGTTCTTATAATATGATGAAGAAGTAGTGTGTTTGTTCTAAGTGGAAAGCTTATTAGAATCATGTTTGGAAATTAAGTAATATATAAAGGAAAAGCATGAACAGAACATACAACTATGTATTCTGAAAATGTAATGAAAGAAAAAAGTAACTGAGTACATTAACTTGTTGAAATGTCCGTTCATACTTAAAAGAAACTCATCATAGATACGCTCAAATAAAAATAAAAATCTAAAAAGACCAGGTAAAGTACGGAGTTAAAGGGCATTTGAGACCCAAAGTTCCGAAATGTTTTGCAAAATACAGCTAAAGTAGTCTATTCAAGGGGTTTTAACATAAAATCTATAAACATGTCTTTTCATGTTATTTCATTTCTTTTTAGACCGTGACATACACAGAAAAAGTCTTTTTTTTTATTTTTGACATGCCCAAATGAAGACTGTAAAATCTTGCTATCTGTATGTTACAAAACGTTAAGAAAAAACATTTGCCGTACGGTGACCCATAGTTGTTAACTTCTTATGTTTAAAATTATATACATAAGAAAAGACATAATAGTATGTCAATAAGTCGAAAATGGTGTCATTTTTTTGTAAAATACCCCATAACAATTTCTGTTTCCATGACACGTTCAAAAATTAGAAATTTAGAGATGTGACATTTTATCTAGTTTAACTTTAAGCATGAACTTGACAAAGGTTTTTAACAGTAGCTTTTAACACCAATACTCAAACAAAGTTGGTTGAACAAAAAGGTAAAACATGCTACACAGAGCAACACGTGATCAGTATGCTGGAATTTCTCATTGACATCATATTTGTTGAATTTGGATGTATACTTATTCAACAATTTATCGGCATTCCTATGGGAACGAACTGTGCGCCTCTCCTTGTCGAGCTGTTCTCATTTTCGTCTGAGTTGGAGTTGTTTCAGACACTTGTCAAAAACATGAAAATGAAATATGCCCAATCATTTAATTTCACATTTAGATATATTGATGATGTTTTTTCCATTAACAATCCCAACTTTTTTGATTGGGTTCTATTAATATATCCTCCAAAACTTGAAATTAAAGACACAACAGACACGGCTTCCTCTACCTCAATTTTTAGACTTATACCTCAAATTTGACATAAGCGGGCATCTCAATACCAGAATCTATGACAAGCGAGACGATTTTAGTTTTGAAATTATAAACTTTCCCCAATTTAGCAGCAACATACCAACTTCACCTGCATATGGGATATACCTTTTTCAACTAATTCGGTATTCAAGAGCTTACCGCTGCTAATCAGACTTTATAAAACGTCACCAACGTCTGAGCAGAAAGTCGATGAGGCAAGGTCATGTCAAAGAACGCCTCGTCCTTTTTCTAAAAAAAAAAAAAACATTGGAAGATACCAAGACCTTGTTGATAAATATTCTGTATTAACTTCAAAAATAATATATGATAATCTTGAAGTATAGAATCTAGGTATTGTCGTTGTTTATCATTTTAATTACGTCATTGTACGTGTAAAATTTCCTATGTCTGTCCTTGTAAATTTTTAACCTTTCCTGTTTAGTTCATTTTTGATTATACACATATGACGTGGATCGGTACTCATACATCCCGTCATTATGTTATTGTGCTTTGGTAATTTTTTGATTAATAATTTATTTCATTTTTGCTTCTGTTCTTTGTCTATATGCCATTTTGTGATTCTTTGTTGAAACTGTTATTTGTTTCATTAGTTATTAAGATTGTATTACATTGTTGACTGCTGTACCCCAATTCTTGACGTTTTTACCTATCATGTCTGTTTGTTTTGCTCACATATCGTTTTCAATATATTGGAATTTAATGCGACTGTCATATAAGTGAGAGGTTTTGCTAGCTATAAAACCAGTTTTAATCCCTCATTTTCTATATAAGGAAATGCCTGTACCAAGTCAGAAATATGACAATTGTTTTCCAGTCGTAAGTTGTGTTTGAGCTTTTGAGCTTTTGATTTTGCAATTTTAAAAAGGACTTTCTGTTTTGAAATTCCCTTGCAGTTCGGTATTTCTGTTATTTTACTTTTTAGTAAGAGCTGGTTTTATCCTAAAGAGTGTTTTAATCTTTATAAAGGATTTCTATTGAATAACAATGCTATAATCATGATTATTATACATACAATGACTTCTTCAAATAATAAGAATAATACTATTAGTAATCACAAAAGTCTCATGGTTATTCCTAGAAAACGGACACTTTTCGAAGAAAATTACAATACTTTTCAACCATTGTGTGTCGCGAGGGGTCAGAAATGACAACATTTGATTTGAACAACTAGTGAAATTTATATATCTGCCACACCTAATTTTCGTTACAGGCCAGGCCTTTATACTGTAAATCAACAATTCCACTATCTATAAAAAATAAGATGTGGTATGATTGTCAATGAGATTACTCTCCACAACAGACCAAATGACAAAGAAATTAACAACAATAGGTCACCATACGGCTTTCAACAATGAGCAAAGCCCATACCGCATAGTCAGCAATAAAAGGCCCTCGGTCATAAAACTTTACTCAGTACTCGGAGTACAAAGTTTGTGCTCGAAACACAAAATACAGGTTTTTGATTAGTTGATTTCTGAGTCTGAGTACAAAAATCGTGCTCGAAATTTTTATTACCGCAAGGCCAGGCCTTTACACTGTAAATCAACAATTCCACTATCTATAAAAGATAAGATGTGGTATAATTGCCAATGAGACAACTCTCCACAACTGACCAAATGACAAAGAAATTAACAACAATAGGTCACCGTACGGCTTTCCACAATGAGCAAAGCCCATACCGCATAGTCAGCAATAAAAGGCCCCGAAATTACAAATGTAAAACAATTCAAACGAGAAAACTAAAGGCCTAATTTATGTACAAAATAATGAACGGAACACAAATATGTAACACAGCAACAAACGACAACCACTGAATTAAAGGCTCCTGACTTGGGACAGGCACATACTGTATGTGATTGGGTTAAACATGTAAGGGGCACCCAACCCTCCCCCTATCCTGTGACAGTGGTGTAACAGTATAAAATAAGAACAAACTATAAAAATCAGTTGAAAAAGGCTTAAACCATCAGATAAATACAAACAGAAATACATCTAACAAAAATACAGAGTGGACGTGGACGGTACTTGTACATCCAAACAACAAAAAAATACACTAAGTACAGATCTGAGAGTACTTACAGTTACTGACAGCTAGTTCAAAGCCAATAACAACTAATAAAAAAAATCATAAATCTAAGACTAAATCATCAATCAGCACACATCCAACATCCCGTGGATTTAGTGTAAAGACGTCATAAACAGTCAGAGAAAAACACGACCTTGTGCAATACCAAGATGCAGGTATCGACAGATTGTAGAGCCATGAATGTGCATAAATTATGTATTTTTTTGTTAAAACAATAGTATTAAGTTTGCTTTTAATTTACTGATAACAAAATCAATATTTATACCAATAAAAACAATATTCAAAGATCTAATTACAGTGGTGAATTAGTAACCTTTTAGAAACAGTTTATTTAAAGGATCGATAAGTTTACCCGGATCATTTCTAAATTTCCATCAAAATTTCCATGTATATTTATTACTAGTATCTATTTTATGCTTGTTTTTTGTGCTAAGTATTAATTATCATTGATCAGTGTAATGAATCGTGTGTCAAATGTAGGGCGATAATTGTGTTTTTTTTATTTCAATAAAGTCACGACATGATTGCCTTGTAACACCATATTGAAATATTCAACTACCAAAACTGATGTTAGTGAATCTAAGAACACCATTGCTATTTCAGATGCTAACAAAAAACGACTGTATTGGATGGAATATCAAAAAGGGGATTTGGAATCTTCTGATCTCAATGGAACAAATGCTATCAAAGTTGTCAGCACGAATAACAACAGAAAAAACCTAGGCATTTATGTATATGGTAGCAAAATATATTGCTCAAATGGTAATCAAACATTAAAGGTCACAGTATTACCAGTAACAATGGCAGAGGTCGTACACACAGATACAGAGACAATTCATGATGTACTTTTTTATGATGGTAAGAATATACTTATTGGAAGAAAAGGGTAAAGATAAATTTTCTTACATATTCGTATACTGTTTATATTTGTCAATCAAGATACAATCAGATAAACGGTACCAATTTTTCTGCACAAGATGCACATTTTTACAATACATGAGCTGCATCCGATAGAAATTGACCTTATGCAAATGATAATCAAAACATCTATTAACATATTTCGGGTTTGAAAAATCTCTATGCAAAATCTGTAACTGTTTGAAAATTTAGTCGATATAAGAAACCTACAAAATAGATCAAATTCATCTTTTATTTCGTATTTGAATGTTCCAACATCAATAAAAGTATGATACATGTACATGTATACGTGCATTTTTGGATTTCTATCCGATGCAGCTCACATGTCTCTTCAGTGATGGTACGGCCGAAATATTTAAAAAAATGAAAACCTAATGAAAAAAAAAATAAAGAGCTTATACATTACAAACCAAAAAGAACATAAGGCAAAGGCACAGCCGGGCAAGGAATCAGAGCTTTGAATGAGAGGATTATCAGTCCCATAAACATGTGGATATTTCTTAACGAATCAATTCATAATTGATTTGCAATGTTTTTTAATTGGATTATTTAAAATTCAATATGTGTAAAAAATGAAAAATGAATAAGTATGTACAAATGTATGTTAGTCTGTAAATAAGAAAATTGCATGCATACACACACTGTATATTGCACAATATGGATGAATTGTAGTCGTAACTTGATAAATAAAATGTTTGCAAAAATGTTTAAGTTATTGACCTAAATATATTATGCATAATTTTATCATATATGTAATCTGTATAATTTAATCTGCAACTTTTATGTGTCATTAGTTAACGATGTTTATCCTTTTTGTAAGTGTCTTTGTCTAAAGATTGTGAAATAGTTATGTACTGCTTGTACGTGTATGCAGCCATATAATCAATGTTATCTCGTAGCTGTTAATTCGCATTAAATTAACGAAACGTAAAGGTTAACTAACTCTAGCTTAATAAATGCAATACTGTTGGTTCATTTTATTTCGTGGTAACCAATTTTCGTGGATTGAGGAAATCTTGCATTTTCGTGGATATCTAATGTCATTGTTAATGCTAAGTCTGCAAACATTCCTTTAGAAAAATCTGTAATTCGTTGAACATTTTAATTCGTGGTTCCCATGTGAAAACGAAATCCACGAAAATTGGTTTCCAACGAATATTAATGAATTCACAATAACAGATGTTTATGATATGAGAGAGCAGTCTTTTATTGACGTTACCATTTGGATATCAGCTATGAGTAATCAATAATAAAAAAACCTAGACAAAACAATAGTACAAACCAATAAACGTATCCTACTTTGTAGGCTTACAGAGGGATGCATATAGTTCGTTCTACCTCATAATCACGAGTTTTTAATTTTATTTACTAATAATGTTTCAATCGATAAATATTCAAGGTTTATGTTAATACAAGTTTGTAATACATTTAGAAAAGAGGGGCGAAAGATACCAGAGGGACATTAAAACTCAAAAATCGAAAATAAACTGACAACGCCATGGCTAAAAAAAGAAAAATAACAAACACACAAATATTAGTACACAAAACACAACACAGAAAACTAAAGACTAAGCAACACGAACTCAACCAAATACTAGGGGTAATCTTAGGTGATCCGGAAGAGTAAGCAGATTCTGCTCCACAAATGGCACCCGTCGTGTTGCTCATGTTAGTACAAACCCGATAGCTAGTTTAATTCGATAGGTCATAGAAATATCGTGTTTGCCCCTCTTTCCATACAGATTTGAACTCCATTCATTCACACAACTTTATTTCATTCACTAAAACGACATAAGTGACATGTCACATTGTATATTATGATTAAGATGTTTTCTAAATACTTTATGACATGTTTACATCATGTCTATATTATACGATGTGTTATTGGTTTTTAATGTTTAGTTTGACTAATTTGATAATGTCATATTTGAAATAAAACTTGAACTCACTTTTGCTTTTTTCGAATAATATTTTCATGAAAACAAAATATCCCTTCTATGAACAAATGATTTTCAAATCAATGACCATTATCTCATGAATTAATTGATATTTGATTAAACATGTCTCTAAATTTGCACATGTTAGTATGTTGAGTTTAATCATACATATGTTTTATATATCTAATTTCAACCTTACGAATTGATTCATGTTATCCTTTTTCATTTAAAGAAATGTTTAAAACGTCTATATATGAGGTATTTACAAACATAACCTTAATTAATCCCACTGAAATCCAAAGGTGAGTAAGATTTTATGTTTTTTTTTAATTCAAAACTTATTATAGAAACGTGTACAAAAATGTTTAAAAGTACATCAGCACAAGCAAATGATTATAATTTTCAAATGATTTTAAATAAAGAGATATTTTTCATGTTACAATACACACAGTTAAACTGAAAACATTATTGTTCTATGATTGTTTTTTGCGCATATGCGTTGATATTGGCAAGTTTGGATCAATTGCATAACAGTTTGTAATCCACAGACTAGAGTTTACAAAGTACATCACATTACACAAACATTCGTCTACAAAAAACAAAATATATGATAGAAGTAAAAAAAAAAAAAAAAAAAAAAAAGGGTATAGGATATTTAACGATGACAAAAAATAAGTACATATAAGTTTTTGTGATATTATATGGATATACGAAAAGTGTTTACATGAACCTATTGTTTTACCTGTATTTTGAACAAAGACATTTATTTTTCATTCGAAGATTTTGCTTAACACAACTGACTTACAGTTTAAGAAAGATTATGCAGTATCTTAATCAACCATTTTTCTTCCTGTTTTATATATCCTACATTGTAAGTATTGTCATAATTTATTTTAACGTTGTGTTTAACAGATATAATTTCAAAGTACACGTTAAAATTAGTTGTTGTGAAGGTGAAAATAGTAACTTCAGCTTTTCAAAATCATTTTAGTGTCAGATGATGGCTTACCCAATGCATATGATTATTATAGTTACATTATCAAAAAAAAAACTACGCTGATTTATCAAGTCTTTAAATGTCTGATAGGATAACTAAATATTTGCATCTTTAAACTCACAGTCAATGTGCCGGCTTGCCATTTTTGAAACAACTTATTTTCTTATGTAAATAATCCAACCCTGCCAAAAGAAATATAATAATTTAATTACTGACGTTGTTTATCATCTTAATAACGTGTTATACTATTCTTTCGTTTGTCTTTGCAAATCATTATTTTACTGTAAGGCTATTTTTGGTAATATCCATTTGACGTGGCTCGGTACTTATACATCCCGTCTTTGTGTTATTGTGCTATACTAAATTTTAATATTCTTGTCTTTCGTTTTTGCTAATGGGCTTTGTCTATATGCCTTTTTTTTTCTTTATTGACATGCTTGTTTTGTTTTCATAGTGATTAATATTATAACATAATGTTGACTGCTGGACCCCTATTTTTGACATTTTTACCTATCATGTCTGTTTGTTTTGTTCACACGTCGTTGTCAACATAATAGAATTTTATGAGACCTTCATACAGGTGAGAGGTTTACTAGCTATAAAACCAGGTTTAATCCACAATTTTCTACATTAGAAAATGCCTGTACCAAGTCAAGAATATGACAGTTGTTATCCATTCGTTTGATGTGTTTGAGCTTTTGATTTTGCCTTTGCTTAGGGACTTTTCGTCTAGAATTTTTCTCCGAGTTCGATATTTTGTTATTTTACTTTTTGCATAACAGAAAACATGTCAGGATTTTTTTCTACATTTAAGTATCATTATGTTTCTTTTGCGATCGATGGTGAAGACACAATCAATATAGACAGAACACACATTATCTGACGATATAGTTTAAAATCATTACGACAATGCTAAATATAAAAATCAACGTTTGTTGGTGCAACGTTAGACTTAAAACAATAATTAAAAAAAAAGAACGGATAAATTTTTTGACTATTGCTTGTTCTCAGTTCTTGAGTATTTACTGTTTCAAAAATTTGAAATCATTATGTATCTTAGGTCATTTTCACATTTAGCTATACTCGGTTTGATGAAAGTGAACTCAACACTTAAAATAAACTTTATTACGTTTCCATTGCTACAATCAATGTTTACATGTAGCTTAAATCAGATTTTGACTTCACGCAGTCGATAGTCAATGTAGGCCTTGTGTATATTAAGTGTACATAAAACTAGATATCAAGAACGTGGATTTTGCCATGAATATTTAAGGAAGTTACAATTATTGAAAACAAATGATTCTATTAATAATATTTTGTTTTCTTTTGCTAATGGAATATTCATTGTATATCTGAGCTGTGTCAAATATATAAATTGACCTTATGCAGGTGCACATTTATGTGTATAAGACTTTGATTGATCTTGGAACATTCAAAAACAAAATAAAAGATGAATTTTGGTCTTTATAACAACTCAATTTTCAAAAAGTTCCAGATTATGCATACAGATTTTTGTCAACCGGAAATACGACAACAGATGTATTGATATCATGCATATTTCCTATTGATAGTACGGCTTCATTATTAAGCACAAACATTTTTTTTTCTAACTATTTCTTAGAAAGTCATGCATTTTGTAGGGAAAACTATTTATTGTCATTTTGTTTTGGAAAAGGTTATTTTTGACAGTTAGTACCAGTCCAGAATATTAATTTCCAAAATCACCACTTAGGTTATTGGGGAATAGAAAAATTGTCACTTAGGTCTTATTTACAAGCGACAGTAAAACCTTTGTCAAATTGTATCATCAGTTTAGATGTACGGGATGTACAAGTCAGGTCAGAATGAGGACATTAAATCTAGTGAGTTGTGTAAAGAGAGAGCAGAGCACGTTAACATTTCTTGCAACAACACTTTCAAGGGTCTGTAGGGGGCCTGTTGAAAGGGAAACATTATCCAATGTACTCTAATTTTCGAATAACAGTGTAAATTTCTCGAAACTTTGTCCCGGGCATCCTCTGTTATAAGACCTACCTATTGTTTTGAAATGTGAATTTGTTCAAGTCCTGAACACGAATGAAATATTTGCCACTGGATGTGAAGCAACCACCA